ATCAGCTATTTTATTGGCCCGGACGACTGAGTGAATCAGAGACCAATCTTTGACTTTAGAACTTGATATGTTTTGCATATATCAATCACATTGAAAGACCAGAGCTGATCGGTTTTTGCATATCCAGAATCAAGTGCGTGCAAGATTCGAACGCGTAACTAGCAGTCTCCAAAACATCTTGGCTGAATCGTTTCAATTTCCCGCTTTAAAAATTCTTGAAGCAAATGGCCTCCTGGAGGATCGAACGCTCAAGCGATGCCAGGGTAAATTAATCGAAAAATTTTAATTTTTTCATAGCTTCTCTCATGATTTTGACTTTCTTTTGTGCTAAAACCGCCATATCTCTGAAACTGTATTATGCAGCTTTATCATTCTCGCAACCAAGAAGGAAAATTAACGGCTATCAGCGGCGCGCGCGAATTTTACCTTATTTTGACGCAATACTTCCAAGAAAATATAATTTTTCATGAATAGAATATTTAAAACCTGTTTTTATTTGCTTACGTGAAAGGCTGCTTCATTTTTTATTCCTTTGAACGGGTTTTCTACTTTTGTTCAGACAGCTGCAAAATCAAAATGCAAATGTATAATTGAAAACAAAATTCTTATTTCGAATTGAATACTCTTGAAGCGAAAGATTGCTCAAAATTCGGTATTAACATAAACAGTTCTAACACGGAATGGAAGCAATGCAAACATTTTGAACAACTGAACAGTCTTTTTCCTGCAAGGAAACTTCCCCCTGGAGTATGTTTTTGCGCAGTCGACTATAACTCCACCCGCGCCTATTGTGAGGCAATGGCTAGACATCGGATCTGTGTTTTTAATTTTATCATTTTTTATTTTTTTATTCTAAGAATTAATTGCTATGGTTTATTATTCTTACATAGCTTTTTAGTTTTTATCCCGAAGAGCTCTGGATAACAACCTCTTATCACTAGCCCTTAATTGTACAAACATATGACGGCATATTACTGTATGTTGTACATGTTGATTATACAATAAGCTCGCCGTCAGATTCTGGGCATAAATTATAATTTCTCTGTGCCAGACATGCCCAAGACCCGCGTCTTCTCCGTCTGTTAGAATCGAGGAATCTGGGAAGGAATTGACCAGATTGCCCGCGCGCGCGTTCCACTTAGAGACCCCTGAGTGATTACAAACCGTGACGATGCATAAAAGGGGAATGGGGCGTGGAACGGCCGGGAGCTGGGGCGGGTGCAGGGACGAGAACAGGGTAAGGCAAAGCGGGAGATACCTGTACTGTTTCTGAATACCGAGGAATTATTTACTTCGCGCCATCCCTAACATCCATTCATTTCGCTGATTCGTGACTGAAAAAAATAAGCGTCTTGTCGAAATAAAATGATAATGATGATTGTAACAATAAATTTGACGGCACAAGAGAAATGATGATAATAATAATAATACTACTAATAATAATAATGATAAAAATGATAATAATGATGAAAATGATAATGGTCAGGATAGTGCGAATGAAGTCATCACTTTTATTATTATTAATATTATTATTATTTTTATTATTATTATTATTATTATTATTATTATCATTACATTATCAGGCCACTTTCTGGCAAAATACAGTGGTTTCATGGTCCTTGACTATTTTTTCTCGTGATCTTCTTCAGGAAATGCTTGAAATGGCCCGTATTCATGATACACGCATTGCATAACATTTATACAGCTTTCTTTTTTTTGAGACCAGGCGTTTTACGGCCGTTTCTTTGCATTGAAATCTATTATTTCCTCGCTTGTGTCTGTAAACAGAATCAACTCATTTGCCAATCAGTCAAATTTCTGTCTGTCTAATTTGTGCCGAAGAATATGAAAAGCGTTACTCTACGACCCAATTTAGTTTCGTAACAACGAATTAAATTTAATTTTTCAATCTGAGTACACGATTCGAACTAAATTTTCTCTTGCCTATTATGATTAACCGAAATTAACAGAGTATACTCCCGGCAACATTTAATTTGTTAACAAAGAGACAGTTTGAAGTTAACATACCAAAATTTTTTAGTTTCTTTTTTTCCCCTTGACACTTAACTTTTTTATTTACCAGTCAATCAGCAACTGGTTACAATGGAACTAAGCAATTTAAACCCACGTTATTCACACAGAAGTTTCCTTCACATAATGAAAGCTGATTTATATATTGTAACCCTTTTCTATCTCTGTTACTTTGAGCAAAAGAGTTGAGCATTCAACATGAACGGTTCTGGGAGCCGTCACATTGCTCTTGCATCTTTAGTCATTATTTTATCGTCAATTATCGCAGATGTTTCTTCACTTAAACCCAATAGCACGGTAAGTTACTTCTTCTTCTTCTTCTTCCAATTTCACTTGATTTTTATTTGTGTTCTATATAGCTAGTCAAGAAAAAAAAACTTTTCAAGTTGGCTCATCTCCCTCAATCGTGAAATATGTTTTCCAAGAGGTTACCAATGAAGTTTTTTTTCCCTCACCCTATTGATAAATGTTGCATCTGTCTAAAGAAATTTCAGACGGCTTCGCTCCATTCGCGAACAAA